TATTTTAAGCATGCACAACTCAGACAATGAGCTCATACACACACATACACACACATACACACACACACACACACACACAATATTTACATTTTAGAGCCAACCAAAACAAAACATTTATTTTGTGGTTGACTAAGCAGATGAATGACAACCTGATCACCAGATTCATGACACACCCAGACCTCTGAGGGCAGATTTCCCTGCAGATCATTAACGTGTGTGACGTCTGATGTCACACAGTTTACGGGAAGCTGGCGGGAATGAGATTGCAGGCATGCAGCGTGTAGCAGAGTTTACCTGGAAGTTGGTCTTCTGCAGCGACGCCCCGGCCTCCACCAGCAACCGACACACAGCGTGCTGCTTCTCTGAGGCTGCTTTGTGCAACGCGGTGTCTCCTCTGTGCGCACACACACACACACACACACACACACACAGGGGATGAGCTGTGAGAACATGTACATGAGTAATACAGAAAGGAGCTGGTTCTTTGGAGGGAAACCACACAGCAGATACACAGAGTGTGTGATCTAACGCTGCTGGAGCTCCAACAGAAACTAAACGTAGCACAGAAACATCCAGTCTAAGGCCAATTTATAATTCACAACTTATAACTCAGAACCTCAGAACCGAAGACCGAGGACCCTTTTGGTGGTTATTTTTATTGCTGCTATTCTTTTGTATGCAAACATTGTTTTTAAAAAAGCTTTGCAGAAATATAATATATATACAGTCTGTGTAGTTGCTGGCTCAGGTTAAACCGGGACAGTCCGGGTCAGGACTCAATAAGGTTTCAGGGGTTAAGACATTACAAGGTATCAGTGGACACACTGATTTTAGGCAGTTTGGGAGAAACAACTGATTTATACATAAATATATAAATATATATATATATATATATATATATGTATATATCTATAAAGCTACAGAGAGTTTCCTTTAGAAAAGACAACATTAAAAGTACCCAACATACTTCTCTCTGTCTGTCAAATCCAGGAGCACCTTGGAGCCTGAGGAGGGAGAGAGAGCACAAACATCAGCAGCTTCCTTTATTCTGAGTAATTAAAGGATTTATCATCTACTAATAACAATAATCTACAATCTTCATCAGATTGGAGCCACAAAAAAAAACTTTATACGACTGTTTCACTGATGTTGGTCTGTAAGAACCAGTATTATGATATGATCTGTGGTACATTGATTTAATTACTGTAAACAAAAGAGGAAACTATGACCCACAACAGAAGTGAGTCTGTCCAACATGTCCAACAACATTTCTTCACAGTGCTGTTTGTTTGATTTTCATACATTAAATCAGTTGGAAACAAACTGTATGATCATTATAATATATTATATATTAGCATTAGAGCTGCGTCCATTTTCTGGAAAATACAACTAAAGAAATAAAGAAATCAAATGAAATAAAGATGGCAGCTGTGACCAACACTGTTATAACTGGAACTCCCCCAAATGTTCTTTAAAGTCTCCAAATAAAGTTGCTCTGTTTGTTCGATCCAAAGCTTTCTGGTTTCCTTTAATAAGATATTTAAAGATGTAATACATAGCGTAACTCTGTTCTCTGTATACGGAGGTTTCAGTGTTCGTGGTGGAGGTCAATGTTTCCTGTTTGATTAAAGTTGCAGTGTATTTATCACTGAATACAGTGACACCATTATTGACTTCCTTTATGATGTTTCACTTTCTTCCTCTCTTGTTTGTTTACAGTGAATATGACTCATGTACTGTGGAGATATGTTCACACATGGCGGTGCTGGTTCTCACCCTGCTGCAGGATGTAGCTGACCAGCTCCGTGTGTCCGTTCTGGGCGGCTTTATGTAAGGCCGAACAACCTCCAGAGTCTCTGACCAACAAGCTGACGCCTCGACGAACGCACTCCAACAGCTGGAGAGCAACAGAGACACAAACAGTTAGGACTCATTAAAACAGGAACACAGAGCTCCTGTTGGTGCACTGTGGAAGGAAAATACTCACACTTTTATGTTTTAAAAATAAACTAAAATTAGTCTTGTCAACCTCTAATCTTTTACTTTTCTTTGAGTTTTAGAAACAAAATTTCTTTTCACTTTAAATAGTTTTAACAATATTTGAAATACAGATTTTTTTGGTTCAAAACCTAAAGATTCAAGTTTTATTAAAGAATAAACGTAAATTCATCATTAATTATTAGAATCTACTTGGTTTATCTGTGCCTAAAAAAAAGAGCCAATATGTACAATATGATGTTTTTGGAACCTTTATTTAAACAAATTATTAGTTTATTTAGTTTAAGTGTGAGTTGAAATAGAGACAGTTCAACCCTCTCTATCGCCGCCCTGGTGGCTGCCTGCAGTAAGGCTCATAATGCCTCCATGTTAGCAGATGGGACAAACTAAAAAAAGTCAAAATACACAAAGACAGTTTCTGGCATTTTAGGTAGATCTCATCAGCTGATCTAACTTTACATTTTGTTTACTCTGCCCATAGAGTTCTCCAGAAAATAAACATCTGGATTAATGCTGAGTCATCAGAGAGAAGCTGAACACATTGTGAAGGTGAGATTAAATCTCCTCTGACTGCCTTTATAAATCCCACAGCAGACAAACTGGTTTTATTTATTCCTTCCTGAGTGTATTTACCATAGAGAGATCTCCAGAGCTGGCAGCCGTCAGCAGCACTATAAACACACAAACAACACAGGAATCATCACGTTACATCAGACTGCAGTCAAATGATGTTTTTCTATAGACACACCTGTCTGTCTGCCTGCCTGCCTGTCTGCCAACACGTCTTCCTCTTTCTAGAAAGATCTGTTGTAATTCTCTGTTATGATGACTCGCTGTGAGCAAAGGTCAGGGGTTTTTACTCACCAGCAGTGTGTAAACTGTGCGTTTTGAGTTCTGTTGGGACTCTTTATGTTTCACTTTCCTATAAAGTTTTCTCCTCAGGTTATTTCCTTGTAGCAGAGTGTGTTCATTGTCTCTGGAGCCATTGAACTGCACATGTAAAACTACTGGAACAATGACTTTAAATGTGTGTGAGAACAGTTGGAGTACATATCACTGTAAATATCTATAAAGTCACCGGAGCAGCGACTGGGTGCTGACTCATGTTTTTGTTTTTATGAGTCAGTTTTCTATCTGCAGAAACTCGTTTACGTCTTTCTGGAACTGAACTGAAGACAAATCTAACCGGCTGTGTTTAAATGCACTCTTATTCCAAATATGACAATAAGCTCATGTAAACAGCAGATTGTGTTCAGTCCAAAAGGAGCATTTAAACAGGGCCTGAAATGGGCCAGTCCTCACTGATACTGACCTTTGTCCCTCTGAGTACCCTTACTTCTTACTGAGTAACACAAGGCCCTGAGAGGAGCACCAGGCTTTAATAAACTGTCTTACAGGTTCTTGTTGTTTTATCTGGTTGAAGTTTATTTAAAGTAAAAGTAAAGAAATCATTTTATGACTTTGTAACATGGATTTTGAAAAGTACTTTATAAATAAAGATTAAGAGCTAACATGTTGAGTGTTTTAATTGGAGACTGCTGAATTTCATGCTGTTTGTTTGTTTGTTTGTTTGCAGATGTAAAACTGAAAGTGTGAGGATGTGGAACAACAGGTTCCTTAAACCGGAGAGTCCCAGGAATTACACAGATTCCTTCCTGACACTGGTTTAGGTGACCAGTAAACAACGTCAAACTAACAAAGAGTTACCATCAGCACCAGCCTGAGGGAGATTCACGTCTACTGTCCACTGACTGTTACAGAAACACAGAGACGTAAACGGAGCTAAAGACATGAAGCAGTGCAGCTTCTTTCTCAGTAAAAGAGAAACTTATTAATGAGGAAATAAATAAAATCTTTCTGAATCAGGTTTGACAACAACAACAAATACAGCTACAAACTGGTTTCTATACGTTTGATAAAAGGTGTGTGTGTGTTACCTTGTTCATCGGATGTCAAAGAAGTGCTGGAAAAAAAAATCACAGACAGAATTAAAATGTGACTCATAGAAAAAAAAAACCTCCTTTCAGTGCCGCGAGTAGTGATTATTATTGATTATCTTTTGATTTCTACAAACAGCTATGAGACGACTGATTATTGCTCAGCAGAACATTAATTAGATAATAATCAAAGTAATTTGGTTCCAGCTTCGGTTTAAGACGTCAACTTGGGCTGTGGGAAATATAATATTCTCCACAATTTTCTGACAATTAACCCTTTCTCATGTCAACGGCCCACATACGGGCCGCATGTTTACATTCCGCCATGTTGGATTTAGTACCCATATCATTCATCATTGGAAAGCTTAGAATCTCGTCTATTTATCGATCAAAACGCTTTTGGGATACAGTCACAACGGCAGGCACACGCCTCAAACTTAAGCAAGCAAGCCAACTCATAAAATTGGCAGCCAAACTCACTCCTTTATTCCATTGCCAAAGCGGCATAATATGTTCCACAGTTCACGATTTATTGCTCCATCTACAAATTTTTTTAGATCTTTTAAATGAGACCAAAACCATGCATATACTGCAAATGGTTGAAGAACAGCTTTTCATTTACTTTGGGTATGTTGTTTTTAGGCGTTTTTAGGTAATTTTACATACATGCTAAGAGGTTAATAATTGATAGATGAAAGATAATAAATACAAACTCTCAGCCCTGATGAGATTAACACATTTCACATCTACCTCTTTTCAGTCCAAACAAACCTTAAATACTGAATTCTACTATTTTGTTTAAGTAAGAATTCACACTGTAAAGATCTTCCATTAAAGCATATATGTATATTTGTATAAATGTAATATTTGATTGTTTTTATTATCTAGAACTCATCTATAAAGTCCACAAAGACACAGAACAGAGAAATAAAGGTTTTATAGTTTCTCCCACACCTGCCGTGTGTGTGCTAACGTACCCAGTGATTGGTTCCACAACCAGATCGGGCATCCCCGTGGTAGCTCCCTGGCTCACCACCGGTCCCTCGTGGTCCAGGATAAAAACCTCGTCCTGACAGATTTCTGTCACAAAGTGGAGGTGCTCCTGCAGACACAGAGCGATGTAAATATACGAGCAGACGTTCGGCTGATAAAACATTTGAGTCAGCATCAAACATGAGTTCAGTTTACCTGAGCCTTGTCGATGCGATAGAAGCGATCAGCTGACGTGGCTGTAGAGCAGAGACATGAATGTCAACAGGAAACACTTCAGAAATATGTTAGACTCAACTTTATCAGCTGAAAACACTTCTTTTAAACTGTCTCTATATATCATATGTATAGATTTACTTGAAATTACACTTTATATACATTTATAGTGTACATGTAACTCCTATCTATCGTGTTGTGTTTGAGCCTATTATATATATTATTATTATTTATTTATTTAAGCAGCATAAGAACAATTATGTCTAAATTTCATTCTTGTGCTGTAAATGACAATAAAATAATCTTAAATCCTTAAATCAAGTTTTGCTTTTGACTTTATATTTTTACTACATGTACTTTGTTAAAGCTTTTTATAACCATGTTAAAAAAAGAGCTGTACAAATAAATTGTGAAAACCCAGAAGATAAAGGTTTGATGAGGAACTTGAAGGAGGTGGAGTGATAAACAGGGATGGAAATTTTAAAAAAAGGCCTGAAGATTCAGCAAATCTGAGCAATTGGGGAAGCTGATTCCAGAGAGTTGTTCCTAAAACAGCAAAGGCGCGGCCACCTTTATTTTTGCAGTTGTGAGGGGGGAGGGGAATTAGGGGCAGAATGAGGAACGATGTTGTTTAGCACTTTATATGTAATCAGCAGGATCGGAGATGATTCTGCATTTTAAATAACTGTGGGAGATTTAAGAAAAGCTGCACTGAGACACTTTTTGTACAGTTTTGTAACTTGATGGTCATATGATGGTGGTTTTTCCTCCTGCAACTGAAACTGGCCAATCCTCATGCCAAGCCCTCAGTATAAGAAGTCTGGCTGATAGTTCACACTCTCTCTGATATTGACTCTGCTGTTGTTGCATTCTTGTTGAACTCTGTAAAGAACGATATGTGCTGGGAGGTTTAGGACTAGGTAAGTTTCCCTGTACACGTAGATAAACTCTGGTTGGTGCCACTTCAGTTAAGCCTTTTGTTTGTATTTTGTTTCTAGTGGTAGTTGTTAGTTAGGGACAGTTATTTTGTATTATTTTCATTTGTCACATTTGTAAATAAATCACTGTTAACTGTCACAGCTACTTTGACTTTGCAATGTCTTTGGTTGTTGTGTTTTCAAGTTTTTTATTCTTAGAAAGGGAAGTAACACTGGTCAAGACGATAACAAAAATCTCAGCCGTAGGTTTGATTTTTGAGCGAAATGGTTCAATAAACTTGATAAGTGAAAGAATTGTCAGGTCCAGTTAAAATAATTTGTTCTGTCAGGATTTAAGCGGAGGAAATTAATCAATCTTGCTGAGCAGTTATTGAGTGAAGACAGTTGATTCAGGTTACTGGGTTTTGCAATTATTTGTAGAAATAAATCAGTGCATCATCAGCGTAACGACGATATGACACGTCGTTGAGTAAAAAAAGGATGTGTACAGTAAGGATATAAATAATTTAGTCACAGTTGTTTTTCATATATGGTTGTGTCAAAACAAACACAAGAAATTAGATTTATTTGGGTTTATGGTGTAAAATCTTTATAAAGTGTTCATCTTTATAATTTATCTGAATGAAAAAACCCTCACTGGTCGATATATCTGTACAACAGGTGTCAGTGTTTCCACTCACAGTCCAAGAAGCTCCAGTTGGGAGAGAGTCTACTGGTTGAACTGGTCCTGGGGACTCCTCTGCTCTCATCCTGAAGACAAAGAGACAGACACTGTGATCTTTATCGTTTCTTTACTGGACAGTAAACTAGAAAAGTTTAAGAGGGAGATTATTTGAAGAAAGAGAAAGCCAAGAAAAGGAATTCATACAGATTATTTTTGAGCAGTTGAACAATCAATAGCAAGACGGAGACAATCAGGACAATGAGGCAGTAAATGTGTAGTGTAGTTTAAATTAGTGTTGTCCTCTTCTCTCACCACAGCTAATAAAGATCAGTTTATATTTGACATGTCCAGAAAAATTTTTTGCAACATGGGTGTCAGTCTGTAAAACATTTAATTATTGTATTTAGCTTCTTTTTGTAGGTCAATTCCTAATTTTAAAGTTTATAGTGCAGGGGTCTCAAACTCCAGAAGTTCTCTGTAGCAGCGTGGTTCGTTTCCAGCCCTGTACTATAACTCTCATACATCCTGCTGTGAATGTTTGCCTAAATTTCCACCACCATTTTATAAATGTTAAAACTTTTCTCCTAAATGACAGCAAATCTAATCTAAAACTGTCACTGGCTCATATATAATATATATATATATACATATATCTATATCTATATATCTGTAACTGGCTAAGCTAACCAGGTATATTAGATTGTAATGTGCATGAAATAAATTTTCTTATATCATATCGGTCGAGCACTACTTGAGATTATTTCTGTATGGAGAGTTTGTCTATGAGTTAGCCTTTCCATTGAACTACACAAAGATACACTGCAATGTCCTGTTGTTTTGTGTTATACATCAAATGTGCCAAATGTGGAAGCTCCTCTGAAGTAATTAAATTTAAAAAAAGGATCAGGAAGAGTCAGAACACAAGCAACCATCAGCTGTTAAAACCAGAGCTGAAGGTGTGTGGATATCTTAGAGAGTCACTGCTCTGAGAGTGGAAAGTCCCCGGTAGTAATGCAGAAGTACAGCAGAGTGCAGAGTCATTAGTTCAGGGTGGAGTTCACAGAGAGTTCAGTAAATAGAAATAAAAACTGTTTGTTTGAGTTCCTGTCCTATATTTGGACAAATGTGACCATTTGTCAAAAATTCTAATATTGTTTCTGGTTTGTCAAAAAACAACAACAACAGCGGTTGTGATTTGATAAAGGAGCTCAATACAATATAAACACAATATATATTCGTTATTAAAAGTTAGTTTAGTTAGAGTCCATTATGTATTTTTAAGGATACGAATGAAAGATTTCCAGACGTTTTTCTCGCCCGGGGGTTTGATAATTTTTACTCGACAGTCCATCATCTTTGAAACTGAAAGGATCATCTCTGTTGTTCTCAGCCAAAGTAAAATTGTGTTTTTATTTTAATTTTAAATGAAGGGGAAGTTCAAATTGGTGAGAAACAACTAGAAAGAATAATAGATTTAATTTTTAACAGCATGTTGTGGGCCAGACGCAGGGGGATGGAGGGCCTGAAGTGGCCCCTGGGCCGGCAGTTTGAGACCCCTGGTGTTGTGTAACCCAGTGCTTTATTTTCATACTTCATAGAGCTGCTAACACTGCTTTCATATCTATCATATAACTGCCCAAAAGTGTTTTTTAACAATTGCAAGAATATAATTCCTAGTAAATGTTCTTGAAATGCTGAAATGTTATGTATGTAACAAATAGCTTCAAAACTAATTATAACCAAACTCTTCCTGCAGAACGACACCCAAAAGTCATATACCTGATAGTGCACTCTGTGGCCAGTAGATGGCGCCTGGTGTAAGTCCTAGCAAGCACAGCAGACAGGTTTCAAGGTTAACACACAGCCAAAGCATTTACATCAAAAACTTCCACAGATGTTAGTCAGTGAACGTTTCCCACGTCAGACACACGGCTAAAGAGCAGCTCTGCATTCCCACTGGAGCTAATGGTCTATGAATAACTGGTGGAGAGATGGTGCTGCAGGCAGAGAGAAACAGAGGAGGAAGGAAGAAAGGAGAAGTAATGCTGAAAATGAGGGTGAAGATAAATAAAGCAGGAACTTGCCTCTTGTAGTCTGTCAATATAGAGTCTGCATGTCTCCAGGTCACAGTCGCCCCTCACCACCACGATGCCGACTGGGATGGCTGCAATACACAAACACACATTTCAGACCACAATGCATCGACAAAGTGAGCTAACCTGCATGTTCTACCAACCAAAGGAAGCAGAAACAAGCTGGAAACACACTGATTTTATCACTTTATCATGTTTTTCACTGATTAAAACCACTCTGATAACCAGTTTTTGGATTTCAGAGAATACACACAGACAGTGTCGTGTATGAACGCACTAAAACATGGTGATGTTTTTGGTGAATGGTGAACTAAATGACTCTGTTTGAATCTAATGAACGAGGACGTGTGTTGTTAAAGGTCCTGTGTGTAACACTGAGGAGGATCTATTGTCAGAAATTGAATACAATATCCGTAGGCACATTGTCATGAGTTTATAATTAAAGAGCAACCTCCTACACACTGGTCTTATGACTCCTCTGACAGTTAATGACACACACTGTTACACTGCTAAAACTGAAATAAAAAAAGGAAGATACCAGGAGGAACTTTAGTTTCATTTTCTGATGAGATTGTACATCTGTGCACTCAGAGCATTTTGTAAAGCAGCTCATTA